GGGGTTTTGTTAAAAACAAAATCAGATGAAAATGTTTTTGGATTTTTTAAATTTTTTTTTTTAGTGCTAAGTTTCAAAACAAAACTTTTCATTTCAGTGAAAATTTGTAATTTTAATGTATCCCTCCTATTGTCCCTTTTTTCCCACTCAGAGCAGTAAAATTAATAATGTACAGGTTTTATTCCACAATTTTCACTCTCTTTTTACCTTTTCCCCCCCACTTTGCAACATTTCAAATCTTCACCATGTCTGACAAAATTACAGAAGAATAAAGAGAAAAATATAACTCTGGAGCTATGGCACTCAAACTGTTTCGAAGTTGAAGAAGTTTTGAAAAGTTAAGAGTGGGAAAAGGCAAAGTAGAGGAAAAAATGGAAAGAAAAAAACAAAACATTGTCTCTCACTATGATGCATTCTTTTGCTTTCATTGGCAAAATAAACAGGAAGAAAAGAGAGAAAATAAATTGAAGTTTTAAATTGTTTTTTCAAGAACCAAATCAAAACATAAATTTTGATTAAAAACTAAGTGAATTATTCATTTAATTTTCTTTAGAGTTTTTACCATAAAAATTTAAAATGAGAAATGGTCATTTGAAATTATTTTTGTGGTATGAAAAATAAGGTTTAGGACCAGCTCCAATATTGACAACATACTTCTGCTTCCAGCAGTTATCAACCCATTGTAACTGTACCATCAGAAGTGCTCCTCTCAGGAGTATAATGACACAAAAGGAGTGCACTGCGCCTGCACAATTTTCTTTTTTTTTCTGTCTTGCCTTTTCCATGAGAGACATCAAACTTCAAATGTCTGCACAGTATTCCATCCTGCAGAATCAGACATGAGGGGCTTAATTCTCCACTGGGCTTGTTCTCCAGCTCCAACACAACGGAGAGTTGGCACTGACAGAGTACCAGTCACCACTCTCTGCACCTGGTCCCTGCATAAATTAACGCTGCTTTGACTTCTCCTGTGGAGAATTAGGCATAAAGGAACCTCAATCTGCCACTCCCTCTGTCCTCCTCCTGGCTGCCTGCTTCGCATGCCCTACCTCCCTTCCTGCCGAGCAGTGGAATTCTAGTCCAGGAAGCAGCAGCATCACCTTCACCGGCTTTGCACGAGCAGTGATTTTCCCAACGCCAGGGGATTCTCCAGGATGAAACTCCTGCCTCCTCAACTTCATTCTGTGCCACAGAAGTAGCACAAAGTGAACCTGGCAGATTGGAGAATGTGCCCCAAGATGGCTGGTCTCTCAGCCAAAGCATTTGGGGCTCATAACAGGCCATAGCAGTAAATACACTTCCTTCAGCATGAGATTGTTTCGGCTGAAAGGAAGAGAGAGAGGCTTTCTTTCATTGGCTTTGTTTTTCCCTGAGACTTGCTACTGGGCTAAACATCCCTACAGGGCTTCAGAGTAAATTGTCAAAAGTAACTAAATCTAGAGATAAGCTTAAAAAACAACAAATGGTCTGGTAGCACTTTATAGACTAACAAAACATGTAGATGGTATCATGAGCTTTTGTGGGCACAGCCCACTTCTTCAGATGACCAGAGTTTTGAGTTTAGGATGTGCAGTCCCAAAATAAATAGGGAAGAATGGAGAGGGGGGAAGGGAAAAAAAGGAAGGGGGCGGGAAACAAGGAGCAGAGGGTATGAAAATATCAGAGGGTATGTCTACACTTGCAGCCTAATTCAAACTAGGGCTGCAAATGTAGGCATTTGGAATTGCAAATCAAGCCCGGGATTTAAATATCCCGCGCTTGATTTGCATCTTCCCGGACGGGCGCCATTTTTTGAAATTTACAAGCCTGAAGTAACTGATTTTTGAAATTGACAAGACCGGAATAACTGCCCTCGTCTACATGTGGCAGTGAAACGGCCGTTCGAAATAAAGCCCTATTTTGAACTACCTGTTATTCCTCCTGCAATGAGGTTTAACAGGTAGTTCGAACTAGGACTTTATTTCGAACGCCCGTTTCACTGCCACGTGTAGACATGGGCAGTTACTTCGGGCTTGTAAATTTCAAAAATGGCGCCCGTCCAGGAAGATGCAAATCAAGCGCGGGATATTTAAATCCCGGGCTTGATTTGCAATTCCGAATGCCTACATTTGCAGCCCTAGTTCGAATTAGGCTGCAAGTGTAGACATACCCAAAGAGAAAAACAAGGAAGCAGAACTGGTAAACTATACGTACCTAAAGATTAGATAGTTAAAGGAAGCAGATAAGGATCAAAAGATAGCAATTAGATAGGAAGGGTACTATGCAAGAATCTACCCAGACAAAGAGTTGTTGGCACCTTCCTTGTATGTTAGGTTGATAATGTCCCAGCCATCCGTTATCTTGATTGAGGTCATCAGTGTGAGAATTGAATTTGTGGATGAATTGTAATCTACATGTTTTGTTAGTCTATAAAGTGCTTCAAGACCATTTTCTGTTTTTTAAGTTTATCCTGTACAGACTAAATCGGCTACCCCCTGAAGCTTCTAAATCTAGAGAGGTCTGTGAAAATCAACTTGAAATGGAATTTCATTTTGAGGTGTGCCAAAGCGAGATCTGTAGAGACCTTTGTATCCCATAAGAAGTCCTGTATTTTAGGAAGAGGATAATCCCTATTGGCATTTTGAGTACTTTAAACAAATCTAACCATACAGTTTGTTCTTCCAGTGATGGTATTTTTCTAGAAACTGCCAAGGAAAAACTTTCCTCTTCTTTTTGAAGGCTGTGAAACCACATCCAACCAGTTCCTGCTTATTTTCTTTCAGCTGGTCACACAGTGTAACGCAAAGTATGTGGAATGCTTCAGCGCTCAAAAAGACTGCAACAAAGAGAAGAACAGAAACTCATCAGTTGTGCCATGTAAGCTCACCTCGTTGGTTTGATTACTGCTTAGCATAACTTTTTGTGTGGAATTCTGTTTGTTATGCATGAGGAGGCATAGTTGCCAGTAGAGGAGAATGGTTAGGTTTTGTTCAGCCAAAGATGTCCTGTCTTTAGAAATGATTATGGCAAAAGGGCCTGGGGATAGTGTCCAAGCAAAATATTCATCTGAAGAGTTAAAGTTTTTGAATAATTATATGGGGCTTTGTTATCTACAGAAGCACAGGCATACATGCATGTTAGCGTCTCTGTAAAAGCTCGCAGTGTGATTGACGTTGATTGTTTGCAGTGACTATGATTAAATTAGGGATATTAATGCATTTATTAAGGTAAACATGTAGCACTGAAAAGTTCACTGTATCAGAGGCAGCAGCGTAGGGCAGGGGCAGAGCGGGCCCAACATACGGGCCACCTGGACTATCGCCCGGGGCGCCCTATTGTAGAGGACACCGTGCAGGGCTGCCAGGCTGGGCAGGGGCGGCACCACGCGTGCTCTGCCCGCCCGGGGTGGCACCACACATGCGCCGCGCACCCAGGGGTGGGGCCATGCATGCGCTGGGCTCCTGGGGGCAGAGCCGCACATGCGTCACACTTCCGGGGGCGGCGCCACGCTCTCAGGGCCCAGGGCATACGAATGGCTTGGGCTGGCCCCGGTCAGGTGTGAGCCAGTGCTCCACAGATAGCTGGTTTTTAAGCAGGATCCCCATGATCACTGGCTCTCGTCGAACTGCCTCCCCTTTACTCCCAGCTGCTGCCTCTGCTGCAGAGGCAGCAGCGTGGGTGGGAGGACTGTGTGTAACCATGAAGGTTAACTGATGAACCCAGGCTCATTGGAACCATTTACACTATCCCATCCCTAGATTAAATTACTGCATTTGGATGGCTCAGTTCACCCTAGTAGCACATTTTGCGCGCACTCAAAAAAAATTGGGGACTGGGAATATAAACCTCATTTCTGCCCTCTGGAGGAGATGAGATGTGTTGAGGGAATTGTGTATGTTTCTGGGTGACTAATCCAATGGGGATTGCCTCAGCTGCAGAGACAGCTGCCGGCCTGCCCCAAGGTCAGAGAAACAGTCATAAAGCAGTGCTGGAAAAAGACCGGAGAAACAAAATAAATGAGATGGTTATGTGTGCAATTGGAGGCGAATGGAACACTGTAGTCAGGAATTATCTGAAATCCCCGGCCACCACGGTATATACTGTGATTTGATCATTCAGCCTGCTGTGAAAATCTTTTGCTATAGTAAAATCTGATTCCTGAAATTACTTTGTCCTTGTAGGAATACTGTACAACATTTCATTTTATATTCTGCTTTGGCTGGCAATGCTTTATCACAGTCAAAGTGCAGCCCTGCTGCTGGGGGAGATGGGAGTTGTGTTAGATCTGATTTGTTAAAGCCACCTC